CGACAAGCGCAGTCTGCTCTGATTGGCCAGCTGACCCAGTGCATTGTGATTGGCCGAAGCACTCGTCGGAAATGTAACGACCCTTACCATAATCGCAAGCTTCATCTTTCAAAGTAAATGTAAAGACAGTAAATAATGTTATTAGTTTTATGTGGCAGAGTCTTAACTTTGATAAAGAATATCTCTTTGGTTTTGAGACTAGTCTTTGCAACTTTAGGGATCTTATCTATTCACGAACAGCTTGTAACACTCCAAAGAGAAAGGAAAACTTGAAATCGCATCATATGACCCCTTTAATGTTGTTTAAGTTTGGAAGTCATCCACCGTCGTTAAATGCTTGCGCTCTTCAAAGCAGAATTCTGATTGGCTGTCAATGTTTTTATCGTTCATCAGCTCGAAACAATTGTTCTGAAACTCAGTCCAACTATATTATTTCCATATTCGTATAGAATTAGAACGACTTTTAAAACTTTATCTTTGCTGTTATAGCCTAGTTATCATCCTCAAAACACAGCAACGTTCTGTTCATTCTAAAGGCGCACTGCCGTTTTGTCATCTGCCGCTTTAAATGCTTGCGCTCTTTAAAACAGGATGGACTCTGATTGGTTGTAATTGTTTTTATCGTTCATCGGCTGGACAAAAATCGTTCTGAAAGTAATTCTCCACTGTGTCTTTATTATAGTTGTGATGCGAACTTCATATTCTCATAGAATTAGAACGACTTTTACAACTTTAAAATCTTTATCGTTATAAGTGCTAACAGGCCTTATCTGGACATTAATAACAGCTAACCTTTGACTACTTGAGTTAAGTGAAGCATCATTTCTCATTTCACATGCAAAGAGCTCATTTACATTACAGTCTTAAATGTTCAGATAAAAATTATAAAAAATAAGGTGATAAACAAATGCGAAACTCAAATTATGAATAACTTTTAAAAAAGTGTAATTTCCAGTTATGTATAAAGTCCTAATGTGGTTTATTTATTTATATATTTTGTATAGATTAAATTTAGTAGTGGAAGTGACGATTATTATGAAAGAAGGTGGTTAAAATAAGCTAAGTCTTCAGCCTACACATTTTTTTTTTTTGGTTAATATGTAAAATGATGTAAAATTATATTAAAATATGAGCACCGAAATATAAGGATGATGATGATGATGGTAATAGGTAGATGGTAATCTAGTCTGCAGACCCTTATCAGACTGAAAATGCATCCCATATCTGAAAAATTGGAGGTACCTTTCCATCTTTGTCATACGGAGAGTCAAAGTTTTCCAGGAAAGAGCGGAAGACTTGTTCTTCTGTCCACTCTCCGCTCTTGTATTTGGGGTGATGTTTGCTGTTGTAGACACCCTGTAGATCTTCTATGGTCACAACGCCGTCTCCTGTCTTATCAAACTTCTGAAAAGCCTGATCGATCACCTGTCTCCGTGCGCTCGACATGGGAGGCTGAAGCAAAGAAACAGAAGAAGCAGGTTGCATTGAAATGAACACGAAAAACTTACTTTTTTGTGCCCTCAAAACACATTCTTACCCTTAATTTCTCAAGAAACTCATCAAAGTTGATAGTGCGGCTTCCATCCTTGTCCATCATGGCAAAGATCTGATGTGCTTTGTCCTTCCCCACAGACACGCCGTAGTTCTCCAGCCCCTTCTCGAACTCCTGGAAGTTTAGAGATTTACTGCCATCATCATCCATGATGCGAAACGTCCTGGAAAGAATTTATATTCTTAGTTAAACTTAAACATATTTTCATAATTTCCCCCCAAATCCTCTACCTTTGTAAAAGAATTAAACAGAAAGATGAATATTTAAAATACTGATTTATTACCTCGCATTGTCAAGAACATGTCCATGTCCCAAAATTATATTTCCTATAAAAGTATATAACTAATTTAACTTAAAAACATAGTTCAGTTGCTGCCTTTAAAGGGGTCATATGATGCGATTTCAATTTTTCCTTTCAGATTTCTATTTCAGATAAATAGTGTTCATATCGATATCGGAATTATATCGTATCGACCGAAATTAAGAAATATACCGTGATATCAATTTTGGCCATATCGTCCAGCCCTATGAGGGGCGAAACATTTCCGTCACACGCTTGAGGTATTCGGTCAATCACAATGCACTGGATAGCTGGCCAATCAGAGCACACCTCGCTTTTCAGACCGATGAGCTTTGTAAAAATCGAGCATTTCAGAAAGGCGGGGCATAGAGGAGAAACAATAATGTACAGTATGTGGAAAATAATGTGTTTTTTGAACCTTAAACCGCATAAACACATTTCATTACATCAAATACACAAAATAATGTTATTTTTAGCAGCATCATATGACCCCTTTAATTTTATGTATAATCAAAGTGTCTGTACATATCATTTCAACTCATTTTTTACAATCTTGAATATAGCTGAATCTCAGTAACTTGAAACTGGTTACATTATTTTTATGAGTTAAAGCTACGAAAAAAAACAAGTTGCCGTGACTTATTGATCATATAATTTTTTACAGTGTTATAAATTATAAATTAGAATTTTTCTTAAAAGGCTGTTTTAAGATTTGTTAAGCTACATTCTGATTTTTTGAATAATGACATTTTCATTTCTATTTCCATATCATTTTTTAAATTCTCACTACTGTAATGCTAAACAAATAATATTTTATGTAAACTGCATTGTGAATAGTTTTTGTGCATTTTTAATATGTTGATTTAAATGAATATCATTTAACCACAGCATTTTTACTGTAACAGAAAAATACTGCAATATGAAAATCTAAAATCTATCGAGTATCACAATTGAGAAGAAATCAACGACTCAAAAGTGAAGCATCTGAATGCACAGCAGGCTATACAAATTTTATGAGTAATGTGCTTCATTTTCATGAAAATTTTCTTTATGTACAATACAGTTTATTATTATTTTTTCTTTTGATTTTAGGTGGAAATATGCCTTGATTTTGTGATGAAGTATGACTTGTTTTTCCCTGAGATTCATCCCATCACTGGTTCAGTCCCCCTGGTGTAACATATAAAGTTAATTATCCTGTTCAAGGGCACAGTGGTGATAATTCATCATCAGCTTCAAGCAGGAATCAAAACAACAGCTTTACTAATGCTGCACCTCATCACCTCAGTCTTTCTTCGAAACCACAGACTCATATATTTAATTTCTCTTGCCTTCCAAGACCCTTGATTCCAGCCGCGCCTCTCTTGAGGCACTGCTGCCTGAGCTCCAGCACTGCATCTGCGGCCATAGCACCTCAGCACAGTCTCGGTGGATCCACTTCAGTCGCCTGCAGCTTCAGGATGGTCTGGCAAGAGATTAAGAATGCAGAAATGCACTGAGGTGGTCCTCAAGACGTCTCGTGGGCAAACAAGGAAGTGCTTTTATGTAGCGACTTCTGTTGTCTTGGAAACATAAACTCATAGGATGTAACCACAGCAACTGTAGTGTACACATAAACCGCCATAAAACACAATAGGCTACACTCATGTTTTACGACAGACTTGAGGCTATTTCATCTTTCTCTATATGAGAAAAGTCGAAATGAAAAGTTCCATATTACTGACATCTGCTTTATTACCATATTCATCAGTTTTTTTCCACAACGGATACTTAGGCACTTAGTCACGTAGACTACGTATCCGTCGTAAAAAAACAAATACATTTAACAAATATCAAAGGTAAAATCATCACTATACGACTTTTATTTAGCCTCGTCCTTAATGTAATTTCTGCTTTTTGATTCGTAGAAAAAATGGTTTGATATATAGATTCAATCAAATAAATATGAAACATTATACCTGTCTTTTGCGGTGGTCTCTTGCGAAGTGCGCAGTCTCACGTGTTTCTCAGGTGCACCTGCGTGTTTCTCCGCCCCCCAAACTCAACTCTCTTTTTGATTGGCTGTAAGGCGTGTCACTCATTACCTTCTGCGTTCAGCATCTGTATTAATCGATAATCGTCAACATTAAAAAAAAAACATTCACATCATTTTTTTTTTATTTATCTATAGCTGGGTTTTACCATAGTTTCTGCCAAATACCAGAGTTAGTCAACTGCAATTATTATTTCTGCAGTTTTTTTATATTGTAAAACGATATAGAATCAAATTCCAAGTGTAATAGCTACATTTCAGAATGTTTCTATAAATTTGTGTTAATGTCTAACTGAGTTTTACTCTAGTAACAGTAACTGTATAACCGTTATTAGGCGAAAACTGTGTAATTTTGTATAAGGCGGGAATGTTTGATCACGTGACGCTAAATCGGCCTGAAGGATAAACGCGTTTCTCATGAAATTCAAAATATGGCAGACATCTTCTGGTGTATTCATCTGTATTTACCACGGTAAACTACGACACTTCAGTACAGGTACATTGTCTATAAACAAACCTTCTTCATGTCTGAACTAGTTTGTAGATTGAGTTTGTTGTTTTAGAGTAGGCTAGCCTGTCAAAACAGATTCTCATGGAAATACATCCAGATCGCTGAATTTTTACTGCAATTCCAATTCCCATTCATTAATTCTCATTTGTTTCGCATTAGTAGTTTTTGATTGTATTATTATTAAAGATGGCCCATAGATGTTCTTAACAGGTTTCATGATGTAAATAGCTGGAAATGTTGACATTTACCTCATGTTGTAAATAGCTGGAAATGTTGATATTGTTTTTTTATTAAGATGCTCACATTTACAGGAGAAGCAGCTGAAATGCTTTTAATTGCTTTCGTCTGGTGTGGAGTGGAAAGTAACGGAGACAAACACCTCCGTTTTGTCAGTTTGTACCACTTGGAGGAAGATTAGAATCTTGGACCAACAGAGAAATAGTTTATGCTTTCTTGTTTACTGTGTCTCAGTGGTTTTAAACATAAACCGGACTTCTCACAGAGCATTAGAGGTTGTATAGAGTTATTGGTTTCATGGGTACAACAGTGATATGCACCAGTGACCCACAGAATGAAGTGACCTGGATCTGATGGCCGTCCTACAATGGGCTAAATGTTTGCAGCCAATAGCAACAGTTGTATTTGTGGTCATGTTGAAATCGTGCTTATCAAGCTGCTCTGTTGATGTTTTCTCTGCACAAGTTTATACCACCAGTTTGATTTCTGTATGTTTTCATGCTTTTGAACATTTGTTCAAAACATTTCAGTTAATTATGTGATGGTAAAATCCAAATAATGTGTTAATTAACATGATTTTACAAACGTACTGAGCCAGTAAGAAGTATTCACCCCCCTTGGAAGCTTTTATGTTTTACAACATTTAGCCTCAGAAGAATTAATTAGGCTTTTTTGACACCGATCAACAATAAAATATTCTTTCATGTCAACACACATTGTACATCTGGCCGCTACAGGGATTTTTCCTCAATCGTTCTGTTTAAAAACTGCTCAAGCTTGGTCAGGTTGCATGTTGGTTGTGTGTGAACAGCTTTTTTTTTTTTTTTTTTTAAGTTCACCCATAAATTATCAATCAGATTGGGATTTGTGGCCATATTACAAAAAATTTTGTTTAGTAAGGCAATTTGTGTTAGAATAACTTTTAGCCCTTCACTTGAGACAGTAGGTTTCTGGAGTATGGCCCCTGGTTTAGTTATGGTAGTCTAGTTGTCATTGGTCTCTTGGTGGCTTCCCTTAGATTTACAGCTTCTTGCGTTTCTTAATGATTGATTTAACTGCACTCCAAGGGATACTCTGTGACTTGGTATCCATTTCCTTCCTTGTGCTTTTCAATTAGATGCTTAGATTGATCTTTTTTTCCTTAAAGGTGTCATATGATGCGATTTCAAGTTTTCCTTTCTCTTTGGAGTGTTACAAGCTCTTGGTGCATAAAGAAGATCTGTAAAGTTGCAAAGACTAAAGTTGCCGCAAGTCCGCCCACCGCTCCTTCGTCGAATCTGCCGGCCTCCACTCACTCTAGCCCGCCGTGTGTTTCGTTGTGAAAGCGAAACTACTTTGTTTGGCCTTCCAAAAGAGGACACGACTAGAAATCAGTGGATAAATGGTTAGTTCACCCAAAAATGAAAATTAGCTTGTGATTTACTTACCCTCGAAGCATCCTAGGTGTCTATGAATTTCTTCTTTCAGACGAATCCAGTCGGAGTTATATTAAAAATTGTCCTGGCTATTCCAAGGTCTATCATTGCAGTCAGCGGGTGTTGCAGTTGAACAGTCCACAAGTCGTCAAATAAAGCTCGTTCCTTACGTGGATCCGTTCCGGCGGAAGGCGTATGACGTATGCGCAGAGCGCCCGCCTCTGAGATATGCTAGTCTTGCAAGTTTGTTTAATAGGAGCAAAGGAAGCAAAGTTTCCTTACTTTAGCAAAGGAAAACCAGTCTCGTCTTGGTTTATATTGAAATTCAGACCGATGAGCTTTGTAAAAATCGACGCGTTTCAGAAAGGCGGGGCATAGAGGAGAAACAATAATGTACAGTATGTGGAAAATAATGTGTTTTTTGAACCTTAAACCGCATAAACACATTTCATTACACCAAATACACAAAATAATGTTCTTTTTAGCAACATCATATGGCCCCTTTAATGGTGGTTCTGCCACAGTACTGACTCGCCAGAAAGTTGGACCTACAGATTGAGGTGTATTTATACTAGAATCAAGCCCCTTGACAACACGGGTGATCTCAATTTACCTATTTATGTGACCTCTAAACCCAACTGGCCACACCAGCGATGGTATAAATGTGTCATATTAAATGGGGTTAATGCTTATGGAATGACTTATTTTGGATTTTACATTCTGAGAATCTGTTTTCTCTTTGACGTTAACGAGTCGTCCACTTATTTATGGTATTGCTTTAATTTTTATTGTTTTTTTTTATCGTCCTTACATCACCCCTTGCAGCAATCGCTTAAACATCAAAGCGTTGTAAACAAGATCTCTCCCACTAGAATTTAATTCTTCTGTTTGTGCCCTGAAGTTGTGGCATTGTAAATCTGCCGTCTACACATTTTGTAGTGGAGCATAAACAGGAAAGTGAATTTAGAAACTCAAGACAAATAAGCAACTTTATGTTTTGTTGTAAGCTGGGTATGTTTATTCAGCCGACTTTAGAAATTCCATTTGGCACAAGTGTAAAATAATAAATAAGTTTCTGTCTCCCTCCTGAAATATCTAAATATATATGAAAAGCATTTTGCAATAAATACCGTTTATCCACAATACAGATGGACTGCATCGACATTTCTGCTGTTGGTGTGAAAAAATCCAACACTCCCAAACGCTGATCATGATTAGTTGACATGGGAAATGTAACAACAACACACACATACATTTGCATTTCTGTAATACTGCCGCAGTACTTTCAACTCATTTGTACACACAAATACAGACACTAAAGCACTCCACTCCAATATAAATGGACAGAAGTAGAGTCACTGAACCCCTTGTCTTATTTGCATTAGCTTTTTCAGAGGGGGACAAAAACTTTTACATGCTAGGTGACATCTAGTTTAAAGGAATAGTTCACTCAAAAATTCAAATTTGCTGAAAATTTACTAACCCTCCTCAGGCCATCCAAGCTGTAGATGAGATTGTTTCTTCATCAGATTTGGAGAAATGTCGCATTACATCACTTTCTCACCAACGGATCCTCTGCAGTGAATGGGTGCCGTCAGAATGATAGTCCGATAAAAACATCACAATAATCCACACCACTCCAGTCCATCTATTAAAGTCTTGTGAAGCCAAAAGCTGCGTGTTTGTAAGAAACAAATCCATCATCAAGACACTTTTAACTTCAAACTGTTGCTTCTGACTAAATAATCCATAATATTGTTTTTTTGTTTTTTTTTGTATTGGATATAATAATATCCATAATATTCAGACTCATTCTGATAGCACCCATTCACTACAGTGGATCCATTGGTGAGCAAGTGATGAAAAGTGTTATATTTCTCCAATAAAGAAACAATTGCTTCTGCATCTTGGATGGGCTGAGGGTGAGTAAATTTTAAGCAAATGTTCATTTTTGGGAGAACTATTCCTTTAAGTTAATTTACAGATTTTATTAATTGTTTGCAATTTTCCAAAAAAAAAGAATTTTATTTGCACAGACAACACCTTATCGAAGCGAGCGATCACCTTCTGTATCCAATTAGCAAGCTTAGACACAGTTCAATCGCTTACTTGGGTTCCACCATTGGCAGGGTGCCCTAAATTTCTAAAAACAAATGAAAACATGTTGTCTTGTCTACTGCTGATATTTCCACAGGGCAGGATGTACTGATTGTTTAAAGTTGAGTAATTCCTTGCACTGGGTTTGACGGTGTGTAGCAGGCTCGGGGTAATTCCATTTACATTGCATTTTAATTTACAATTTAAATACATAAATGACAAAACAAATTTTCCACCTGAATTGAAATGTAATTGATCCGAGTAAAACGACTGCATGCTCCATTAGCTGTTGCATTGTTTTTACAGTAATTCCATTAGCTTTGAAGGAAAGATGTGTTTAGGGCTTGACGGATCCTGGCGTGACACCAATCTCATTTGTAGTTTTGTCCTTAATTACTTACCTTAGTTATTCAGTTAGACCACAGTCTTTTTCAGTGAGAAAGAACAGCAAAGAATGAAGAAGTTACGTGAACGAATATAAGAAACTTAGATTATCGTAATAATCTATGAACCAATTTGGGGATTGTGGCTCATTTGATACAGACCAAATCCAACTATATCAGATTGTTCAGCATGCTGTGTTTAAACCAGATTTGTCCTTTTGTGTTTCTGACTTACATGAAATACGGTGTAATATATACAGGAATTAAACTGGAATGTAGCAGTAAAAAGACTGGCTACACTTTTACAGCATGTTTCTGAAAGGCCAAGGCTAAATTTAATGCTTAATCCTGTACGTCTGAACAGCTTAGAACTGCTTACAACTCCACCATTAATCTCTTCAGCATCTTCACACATACAATGATCAGTTAATTGCGTTTATGACAGATTTCATGCTCTGTAATTAGTCCAGTAACTAATTTAGTCCAGAAAAGATAACATAAAAACGTTTTCTATGGAAGGGTGAAGCATGTGCAAGGTTCAAGGGGTTTTACAGCCTGATGTCATAGGAGAACCATTTTAAGCTGCACAAAATGTAAGTACCTGTTTGGCTTTAGAAAATTGCATATGGGAAAATTTGCCCAGGTCACATTTCTGCAATATATGTACATCAGTAATAGTACTTCATTAATTTTCTTGTTTGTATTACTGTAGTGAGAATGAGTGCAATGAATAGCCAGGAACAATGTCAAAATAAAATAATTCTTTCCTCTTTTTTTTTTCTTTTTTTTAAACTGACAATTTTCTTTGTGAAATATATATTTTCATGCCTTTCATTTGATTCTAAGATTAAATTACCCATGTTCTTGACAGGTTTTGTGAGATTTAACCCAATTTACTGTTGCTTTAGAACCCCAAAACCAATACTTTGATCTAAAGAATCAAGAATTTTATGAATTTTATGAACTTGTACAGCAAAAAATGGTTCTTATGAGGACAGATCTTTGTTTCATGTGAAGTGCTACAAAGAACCTTTATTTCTAACAGTATAATGTTCCATCTGCATAAATGAAGGTTACAATTACTTGTCCATAAATGTGTTCAAGGATAATAAATGCTTAAATGTTTAATAAATGTTTGCTGTTGAGAAGGACCAAACCTGGAATTACTTTCCAAAAGACAATGTATCTCAAGTAGCATTGTCTAAAAGAATGTAAACATGAACATGACCATGAGAAAAATGAACTTTTAAGATCTTTGAGGGACGACACCTTTTGGAAAACTTTTTAAGCTAAACGTTTCCCTATTGGCCATTGGAATTGGATTGCCTATTCCTATTTTAAACGTAAATATCAGGGTGTAAATTGTCTCAAGGACAGGAGAAGCTTGGATTTGATCAGACATGCTTTGGCAAGGCTTTAAGGTCAAATTCAGGGGTTTGAAATAGTGTGCATATACGTTTCAAGTGACAGTGTTGTTTTAGGTAATATCCATCCTAGGAGACTTTTGGTCGAGAAGCATTTCTCTACATGTATACCTCTGATTCATATTTCTGATTAGCGTAATCCCAGGAAGTGGGTGCGGTAGAACAAGATTCATTGCATGTAGGCCTACATTCTTCTAAGAAAACAAACAAAAAAGAAACGAAGAAAGAAATGAGGTAGTTTTCACAGCTGTGTTGCACTTCATACTTCAGTATTCAGATTCGTAACAAAAGCGAGCAGCATACAGTTGTCGCTGTAGCCCTCTACCATTAATATATATATTTATATCTTCGGTTAAATACTACTATATCTGTACTTGTTCTTCTGCAGAAGTTTCCAGTGGAAGGTGAAAGGAGTCTCCCGCCAGCTTTTGGTCCCATCGAATTAAACCAGCGATCCACCTTTGGTTAAAGTCCAGTGCCCTGTGCTAATCAAAAGTGCCAGTAACCACTGAAAAGGCAGAAACAAAACTTTATCCCATAGTTGCCAAGGCTTTAGACAATTCAGGCCTTGTCTTTTGTGTTTTGCGTATCGCTTTTCTGTAGCTTTCACTTTTTCCATGGTGGCATTGTGGGTCCCTCTCAGCATCTTTTTCAGAATTGCAATTTGCCCTACGTTCTCGAATAGTTCCATGGTTTCTGTGTGTCACATGGTCGCCCTTTCCAAAGTTCCTATGGTTACCACGGAATTTTGAAACGTTCTCTGTTGCCTTCGTAATGTATAGACATTCTCCCTGACGTTTCCACAGTTCGTCATACGCAACCGCACGCTCTCGCAGAGACGTTCTGGATGGTGTAGAACCTGTCCTTGTTGTCAAAGAAAGACATTTTCTTCTCAAACTTTGTAGGGCGACAACATGGGGCGTTGCGTGCCTTGTCTTTTTTTACGTTATCCCGTCCTCGCCGGCCTTTCTCACTGGAGCCGTTATTTATCTGCATGTGCTCCATTACAAAGTCATAGTTGCGTCGTTCGTGGATGCACTTCCCGCTGCAGTACCTAAAGCTCACCGTCTCGTCGCTCTCGTACCCGAGTCCGAGCTCGCTCACCGTAAGCTCGATCTCGTGCAGAGAGCACGGCTTTGGGCCCTTCCGTGCTCGTTTGGTTCTCCGTCCCGTCTCGGTTCTGATCCTCCTCTCCTTCCGGTCCACCAGGGTCGCGATCACCTTCTTCAGCTCGCCCTTGGTGAAGCTTTGGAAGAGGTACGAGACTAGAGGAAGAAAAACACCAGAGGAGAAAGTTAATACTTGGAGGTTGCACTTTCATAATTCAGGAGACTTAACGGAGTTCTCAGGCCTGGAACATACTTTACACAAGTATGCAAATGTGTATGCTTTCCAAACGTTTACTAATGTGCCATTAAACATACTTAACGTGCGTTTGTGTTACTGTGCCGGTAACAAACCTCAGTTCTCAAAGGGCGATTGAATGTCATTAAACCAAAGCCAGGCTAATTTAGCATGGGTTCTGTCCAGCGTTTCTGTGGTTTTGGTTTTGGATTTATGAGTAAAAATAAGGTCTGTTTTTAATGTTACTTTAGAATTTTGTTGTACAACATAAATTATGCACAATCAGGCTTCAGATGTGAATTTTGAAGCCACTCTGTGTCAGACAAGTTGCTGTGTAAGAATTACAGCAGTTGCTTGTCAAGCATATGAACTCACATCCTTGTAGTTATTTTTTTGTTGTACTTGCTTGCAAATTGCTTGTTTTTTACAAAATACATTGAATTATGTTCTTGTCTGAGGTCTGATTTTACTCAAAAAAAACAAAACAAAAAAAAAACCTGGGAAAAGCAACTCAAATGCTAAAAATCTTCTGGATTTTGTGTAAAAGCTCAAAAGACTTTCTCATTAGGTTTTTCTTCAAAGTATTTCTCCTTGCCATGATGGTAGTTGATCTGAATGGCTCGCTGTAGAAGACTGTGCTAATATAGCAATTCTTGTGGGAACACGTACTTGCATCACGTTGGTCTGACACATCTATGCATTCACATACTTGTATGTGTTTCAGACCTTAGTAATGTTTGCTTTAAGTATCAGTTTTGTGTTATATGTTTTCCTTAGAAGTAAAAGTAGACATAAATAAAACAATTGTTGAAATACAGTAAGAAAATGGACCTTATTGAGGGTGAAAAGCATATTTAATTTGACAAATGAAAAAAAGGCTAAAGTTGGGTTTAGATGTTCAGTTCATTCTATAGGTTCATTGGACCAGCATGAGTGTTTTGAGTCAGCATTGCCACTGAAAATGTTATATTCACTGATTTTGTACATTCATTTTAATGTCTTGCAAACGCATTGTATTCTATATTGTTGTTTCAATTCTGCTGATTGGTCATATGGCCACAAAGGTAATGTTGTTAATCTAGCTGGCTAACACACATGTGGTTAAATATAACTTGAAAGCATGCCGTAAGAATGTGTTAAAGCATCATATATCATTGTTTTCCAGCAAAAGTGTGGTTTTGAATTTATAGTGTTAACTGCTGTCCAGAAACAAAATCTATATTGTTGAGCCCTGGATTTGATATTTTTGTACTTTTCTTTCATTTTCATCTGTGTCTAATTAGATTTTTTATGGCGTCTACCTTCACTGTGGTCTCTAGAACTATAAAATTAATGTGGATAGGCAGTATGTTTGGGCTTTATAGTTAGACATTTGAAATGTTCGATATGACTTGGTCTTGAGATATCTGACTTTGATTGAGACTTTAGTGTCTTGGCAAGCACAGTTTGAAACTCTAAAGGCGACGCGTGAAATTGCTTAAATCTTATTTTCTGAAAAGTAGGAAAATTCAACTTCAGGTTTCCATGTGCTCTTCATTTTTAATTCTGTCTAGGTTAAGGCTGTGCAACTAAATGCAATTGCAAAAATTAGTGAATGTAAACATACCTAATACATTTTGATGGAAGTGAATGCATGTGTCAAACTCAAGGGCTTAACCTGCACATTCTGTTGTTAAGGATTAAATCGCTCACTTTAAACCATTGTAATGATCAGTTGTAAAGCAGGATTATGTCCATCTTTAAGATGGCTTTAGAGCATATTTGCACTGACCTTTTGCTACTCCAACCCTGGCCCTGCAGTACCTAATAGTGCACATTTTGTGTTTTTTCTCTAATCAAAAACACTTAACACTAAGTTGGGTGTCAGCTAAAGGAGACACCCAAAATGTGTACCAGGTTGGGAAACACTGCTCTATATGTAAGATGAGAATAGGTCTGCTTTTCTTTGCAGTCTTTACGAGTCAGTCCGGGTGTGTATTAAGAAAATTGCTTATGCATGCAAGTGCACACTGTTCATGCAGCCGTTTCAGCATAGTGTATGAAGGGGTTGAAGAAAAGGTGTGAAAAATATTGTTGACGATGATAAACTAAATTGAGTTAAAAGTAAAACTAAACTTTCAGCACATCAACAAAACGTCCAGTGTACCTTATGAGTTAAAGCAAGTAAGTAAGTGTCAGTTTTGAGATGTTGTTTCAGACCAATGGAAAGAAAACATCCACTTTATTTTATTGCACTCTATATGTTTGTGTCGGCCAATCAGAGCACACCTCGCTTTTCAGAACGATGAGCTTTGTAAAAATCGACCTGTTTCAGAAAGGCGAGGCATAAAGGAGAAACAATAATCTACAGTATGTGGAAAATAATGTGTTTTTTTAACCTTAAACCACATAAACACATTTCATTACACCAAATACACAAAATAATGTTCTTTTTAGCAACATCATATGACCCCTTTAAATTATAATAAGTATATTTAAAGTTTTTCTCTACTTCTGTAGCACTTCGCTACATAGACAAAACTTTACAGTTTTATTCCTATCTATATTCTGAGGTTTTTACAGAGAGGATTGTTTATATATACTTTGCACCGATTTTATACAACACTGTTTCCCTAAAACCATCTTTTGACAGCATTTTCTGATTTTCTGACTATAGAATGACATATTAAATCCTTCCGTCATGTCTGCGTCAACGCGACCTAATCCACACTGGCACTGTTGCTAAGGAAAACCAAAAAAAAAAGGTTTCTCTTACATTCTGAGAGAAGAGAGCCCATGTCCTCAGTGGCTCTGACCGCTCGGCGCGGCACTGGCTTCCTCGATGAGGTTGATGAGAGTGAAGATGAGAATGATGGTCGTGGTTCAAGTGCTCTGGCTGCTGGCTGTGAGGAAGGGTCTGATGAAATCCCTAAGGCCTTTGGGTAGGAAGACCCAAAAGGTGATGTGGTTTTCAAAAGCAGGAGGAAAAACGAGGCACCGAACAGGATGAAGGCGAGGGTGACCTCTTTCCATACCCTCATCTTAGAGCAGCGTGGAGCATTGAAACTCTGAAAAACACATGTCAAAACAAACCCATTAGACAACTCGTCGATGTTTGGTTAAGCTTTTATCAGTCTTTTTGAAATATGTGGCTTTCTTCCTATTTATCGAAAGCTTTCAGTGAACTGTAAAAATGTTCCTGAGGAATAGTGGGAAAATGCATGGTCTTAAATGAATAGTTTGCACAAAAATTACTGTTTGTTATGTTGTCATTGTGTCTTGTAAGGTAGAATATCCAGGCTTTTCCATTCAACAAAAGTGGATGATTTATACTGCTAAAAAGGGCAAAAAGCATTATAAAAATGCTGTCCATCATACATATATCACTTGTGTGCTGTAATGCTAGTCATATGATAACTTATGTGAGGAACAAACTGAAATTTAAGGGATATGTATATTTTGTATGGGTCTGAATTGGACGTTTAATAGCATATGCTCATTTTCCTTCACTTTGCAACAATCTTCAAATGTGCATTTAAAGTTAGCAAATCTAATTTTAATATAAATTTAATCTTTTCATACTGTACATTATAATGTGATGATGTCTAAAGTCACTTTACTATTTAATATTTGTTTTTAGTGTTTTATTTTCAATTTAGAACAAAATATATATTTTAATATTTATATAAAAAAATTTATATATTTAATATTTATCTGTACATAAACAATTTTCATTCAGAAATTGCTTGCAAATTTCAAAATTACAGAGAAATAACAAACTGAATGAAACGTGAAATATTGAAGTATGAATGTCTTATAAAACATACTCCAATAATATTTTGTTATTTACAACTTTAAAAAAATGTTTACAGTGTATCAGCCAGAATTTTAATATCGCACATGCCTAAATTTAAGTCATGAATTTTTTTCTGCAATAGTGCTCAAATCTCTTTTGCTTTGTTGTTTAAATAGGTTGCATCACTATCAGTCATGTGACACAAAAACAAACTGCATTTGGTAGCTGACTTGATGCATCTTAAAGGAATATTTTTATTTTTATTTCCAGAACTTGCCAGTATAAATCCTAATCCACTTAATAATAACAAAAAATGGCAGTTAATAACAAAATGCTCTTTTTTTTTTTTGTGGTGAATTAGATTTTTAAGACTTAAGTATGCACTAGGGACTAAACATTTAGTGTGTTGTACTTTGCTTTCAGTAGCATACTTGGCATACAATGTGTTTTTTAAAAATAAGCCTTAAGTATACTATAATACAACCTACTGTCTGTGTTGATAGGTTAGTTATCATCTGTGCAGGATGAATAGAATGAGGTTCGTTCTTTCAGGTCATGATCTTTTCTACGCATTGTCTCCTTTCCCCAACTGATTCCTCATCTTCATGAAGGTGTGTCCTTCATAACATCCACCTGGGTGGAGACCCGACATTATCGTATGCAAGCAAGTCCAAACAATTAGTCCTACTTTTCCTTAGGGGGAATCTTTGTTTGCAGAGAGGATCCATTCAGTGTGAGCAGATTTATGACGGTAAACAGACCTACATTAGTTGTTGAAATTACCTACATGGGTTGAGATAAATCTAGATTTATTTTGTTGCATTTTTCTTAAAAATAAAGGAGTTTATTGGCATTTATAGTTCCATGAAGAACCTTTAACATCCATGGAATCTTTCCATTCCACAAAAGTTTCTTTAGATTTTTAAAATCTTCTTCTCTCTAAGAAAAACTGAAAGGTTCTTTGGGAACCAAAAGTGGTTCTTCTATGGCATCACTGCAAAAACACCCATTATTTTTAAGAGTGTATGGTGAAAAGGGAATTTTGCTATAGTTACGACACTTTCTCTCGACCAAAATATTTAATAACCAAATACGTTATGGGTGGTATGGCTGATGGGCGTTCCAGTTTTCGGGAAGTCTAAAGTGCTTTCTTCGAACCTTCTATGTGGGCCTGCTGGTATAATGTCCCCTGCCAGATCTATCTGTTGTCTTTTGTTTGTTCAGCTAAACATAGGTCTATGGAGCATATATCTATGCCTGCATGTACACACATATTTTTCTTTCATCCTCTCAAAAGACTGCATTCTTTCCCTGTTGAGGAATCTCTTTACAATGCTGTGTTGTCTTTGCAGTTGAGCGTTCTTTTTTTTTTTTTGCTGAAAAGTCTTTGTTTTCATTGCTATCACTAGGTAGGTTTTCTCCAGAGTAGGAGAGGAAGGTGGAAAACTCTTCCCCAGATGGGTAACATTTAAGGACAAATCCAGACAGTATATGCTGGAAGTGTTTTGCCAGACTGACCGTATGTATGGTGGTCTTATTGGGTCAATGTGGGTCGGGCTGCCAATTCATGTTGGTCTAAAGTAGAGATGCTCAAACCAGTGCTTGCATGCAAATATTGGCCCATGATGATCTGTAATTTGGTCTGCCAATTTAACTTTGTGGTTTAACATTATTTGTTGTATTTTGTTTTTTGCATTGAAATGTAGACATAAGTGAATTTCTTTTCATCATTAAATGTACATTTTCCACTTAGTCTGGAATAATGCAAGTTCCTTTTGGCCCACATCACTTTATGAAGTTTGATTTTTGGCCCTGGTCTAAAGAGTTAATGGGTTGTCTGAGGTTATGGTGAATTCAGGTAAATTGCCATGGCTCCAAATGTCCCAATTAACAGATAGATAGATAGATAGATAGATAGACTGTAAAAAAATGATGTCTGCCCTCAGCAAATATGGCTCATTAAAATAAACAGATTTGACTTAAATTAAATTTTGCACATTACTTAATTTAAAGCTACAAATGTTACATAACATATTGAGTTTATGGTTTACTTTAATTAATAAAGAAACACAAGTAACTTTGAGTAAAGTCAACAATAATAAAAAAAATTTAGTCAAATTAACACAGTTTTTTAGGACCCAAGCAGATGTCTGCCCTCAGCAAATATGGCTCATTAAAATAAGCAGATTTACCTTAAAATTTCAGTTTTGCACATTACTTAATTTAAAGCTACAACTGTTACATAACATATTGAGTTCATGGTTTACTTTAATTAATAAAGAAACACAACAAGTAAATTTGAGTAAAATCAACCATACTCAATTTTAGTCAAATTAACACAATTTTTTAGGATCCAAGCAGATACCACGTGACGAACTGAATTAACTTTGAAGCGTGCAATTTGTGGTGGCCATTTTAGTAAACCAGATCTCAGAAGAGGACTGCTCGTCAACTGTGAAGGTGAGTAACTGTTATGTGAAATAAGTAGAACTTTTCTTTATCATATATTTTACTAGATATCGAATGGACACTTAAACATGTGCGTGCACGCCAGAGTCACAACTTTTGTGAGACCAAAATACACATTGTACGGTTAATTTTTACAGTCTGCCTTTGATCGTAGGCTAACGTTAATCGTGCTACAGCGACGTTGTACCAGTGGCAGTTCAACATACTGCATGATACGACATACACATCATATGTTAGCATTGTAGTGGTAGATCTGGGCGTATATATCAGTAGACAGGCTTTCATAGCCCCAGTTATAACCTTCAAATGATTTTACTCACGTGCTGTCCTGACATAAGCGTTTCTGCACACGCAAAGCCACACAGCACAAATAGTCAACCAAGATCTTCACAGCTAATTGGTCTTAAACTGTCGAATACACTCAAGGTTTACATAAACAGTCGTTTACGTTCTTAGTGAATGTAAACAGAAAACTGGACGTGTGTAAGTACATTAAAGGTTCCATATTGTCAAAACTGAAATTTCCTGGCTTTTTTCACGATTACTGAGGTCTAGGGGCTATTTAACTACCATATAAGTTTCAAAACAGTCAGTCCACAGTAAAATTCACACTGGTTTTTGGTACTTATACCGCAAATATATATTCTTAAGGACATCAAAACCTCAAATAAAAATCCAGAAAGGTGTACAATATGGGACCTTTAAATCTGTGCAATTTCATTAATGTTAATCAACACAAGACTCACTGCTCGTGACTGCTTAACTTTAACTTTGATTAGAATCTGTATATTGAATTCATACAGTAAAGTCTACTTAAGTTTACTGTTTACTGAAAGTCCTGCTTACTTATTTTAGCATTTAAATCTTAGATGTTCACTGTCATTACTGTCATGCATTTTATTTTATTTTTTTAATTTATTTTTATTTCTATTTCTGTTTGTACTCAGGATCACAGATTGATTGTCTTCCAATCAGAGAACACTGACAATCTGATTGCACATTACCACATTGCCAGGTGAGTGAATATGGTCAATTTTGTGTTGTTTGCTTTGAAATTACTTTTATAGTAAGTGGAAAGTGCTAATTTAAATAATGAAAATAATGACTAATCTTAAAATAAATAAAATGAAAGTTTTTTTGTTTGTTTGAATTATTTGGTCAGATTAATGACTACTTGGATGTTTCCATCAATGAGCTTCATACATGTTTTAAAGTTGAGCCTGACAACCAAAAAAGCACAATATGCATTTTATTGTTTTGTGTTATAGGACACTGATCGGGAAATAGCCCAAGAAGACCCTACAAGGGGGCTTTCCAGATGGCAGTCCTTCAGAGACAGAAATAGTCTTGAAAGGCGTTGAGGTTCTGTCGGAATTGTCCAGTGTTGCAATGCATGTGTTGCCCTTCTTGGCCTGATGTATTCTGTAAAACTGAGTTACCCCAAGCCACTGAGGTATACATTTGATTTGATTTTTTTCAGAAAATCCTGCTTGACTTGATTGCAACACTTCTAACCCCTGATTTACATTGCACACGTCTGCAACGCGTTACGGCTCACTGCGCTGCTCCGCTAAAGATAGGCGCCTAGTCTATTTTTGACAGACACTGCGCCCAAGCCGCACAGCAAATACAAAATAAAAGTCAAAAAATCCTGTCAATTTCAAAATAAACACCCTGTGCAGACTCCCGTATTTCACATCACTATATACTTAAGATGCCAGAAATAGATGACGAGAGGTTCATCCTCAAAGTTGACAAACACACATTGTTATATGACACCACAAATCCTTTTTACAAGGACAAATACAAAAAGGACAAGGCGTGGAGTTTAATTGCATGAGTTGTATGAGTGGAATAAACAGAATTAAACCGGACAAAATGTAAACATTTAGCCAACCATGTTAGAACAAAAAAAAAAAAAAACGCTTTTGATGAACCTTTATGATTAAATGCATGTCTGCATGGCATTCACTTTGTATATCTTGCTTGCATGTACTCAATCTTCCTCACTGTCAGTACAGGCACTTCTTACCTCCAATATACTGAAACGCTTCTGGTGTGAGTTGGCACCGGAACAACACCTCGTCTGAGCCATAACGCGCCGCAGACGTGTGCAGTGTAAACGGGGTAACTTTGAATAACAAGATGTTGAATTTTTTTAATACTTAAGTGTCTTGTTAATGCATTTTTAATGCCACATAACATTGCAAAACTCACTCATGCAAATCAACAAGCATACAACACCACACATTACATACTCAGCACTTCACTGCACTCAAACACACAAGCATACAACACCACAAACATTATGTAAACAACATACTTCACTCTATACCACACACACACAAACATACAACACCACACATATTAAAAAGCATGTTGATACTTACTGTTATTTGTTAGAGAATGTTTACTGTTGTTCAGTAATCTGTATTTTTAGTCATTTTCAAACTGTTTTAAGAGATTTTTTTAAGTTGCGTTTGTAAAAAAACAAAAAAATAAAGAAGTCATTTAATATTCACCAGTTATCTGTTATGTCTTCCACTCATTGTAATATATAACTAGTTTTAAGTATTGAGCAGTACCTAGGTATTTTAAAATACAAAAACTTAAAATTATCAATCTAAATGAGCTTAAATTTTATAATGAGGTAAACAAGACTTTTATTGTAGAAATAACTTACATTTATTAGTATAAACTACTTAAAATATTGTGTTACAACCAGCTAATACATTTGAGCAAAAACGTTCACTGGGATACTCAAACATTTAAGCATTGCAAACTAAAGATTTTTAGGTAACATTGCTTAAAATTCCTTGAGAAATTTACTTAAGAAGAGGGATGCAAAAATGATGCACTATATTTTTAAGTAAATCTAGCATATTATTTTTTTCAGTGTAGATAGATAGATTTAATTTAATTTCATTTTTATTTTTTTAATTTTTATTTTTTATTTTTTTTTATTTTTTTAAAGAAGAGGAGTGGTTCATGTCTGGTTTATATGCACCCTAAAAAAAAGATGTACAATGAACAAGATAAAGATAATTTTTTATGGCAGTTTTTCATTGTGACCTTTTTAATGAAAATTAAATGCATCCCCCCCCATATTTAATAGTTCAAAATTTCAGAATCGTTCACCCTATTGTAATGCTGAAAGCAGTATTTTTTTGCCAATTTTTATTTTTTTATTTACTTTGATGAAAAGTATTTACTTTTGTTATTTACTTTACTATTATTTACCATGATGATTATTTACTTTGATTACTTTTTGATACAGTGTATCACGTGGCATTACCCTCTATGTATAGAAAGAGCTCAATGTCTGTCTAAAAAAAAAGAGTAAACAAGCTATTATTGTTTTTAATATCAAAATGAATGTGTTTTTGAATAAGTCTGGAATTCAGTGTCTCGACGAACTTCTCAAGCTGTTGGAAAGCATGTAGTCCTTTTTGTTGTGTTCTGGTCTCTTTATCTCGTTCGCTGTGTATTTTGGAAACGACATTATCACTCTCGTCACTTTCTTCACTTGACCAAATATAGATCTGGCACGAATATAGATCTGGCACGTCTAAATGCTCAAAACGTCCAACAGATGATAATGAATAGATAATCATTATTTAAATGAATGTCATGAAAACATGTTCCGGTCATATTTCTTCCCAAACTCACATGAAAACACTGTCAATGCTATAAAAAATCTTTATGGTCCTCTAAATAGGCTTCATTTACTTCAATCAAAATGTCAAATGGATGAATTATGACCTGCATACGCTCTTGTTTGGTTTCATGAGATTTGTGTATTTTGAAATCCATGGTAATCCGGGCAGCAAAATGTGTTACAATATACAACAGAACACTTAACCAGTACCAATAAACTGTCTTCAGATTCATACGGCATGTATTACCGCTAACGGTTATTCACCTTTCTGCTTTAATCGCCCTTTAGTTGCAGTACAAATAATCAAACAGCAATTTGAATTTTCAGAGATGGCCATTTGATGAATTGGCCTGTTGAGGTGAATCGTTACCATCAGTGGTGTTCTGCTAATTAACTTTATTTACACAGACCGTTATGAACGCAATGGACAGTTAAATTTGAGACATGCTTTATTGAGATTATTGAGTCTGACGTTAACTGCAGTGTGTTTGATGAATTATGTTATGATGTCATTGTTGTATGTTAAGTGTTACCTCATCATCTATTTTAAACCGCTGTGATCTGACTGATTGTAAAACATTAGTGATGTAATATAATCCTTATTTCAGAGACTGCATGCAACATATTTTAGTTAATGTATATACTTTATGATTAAACCATCAAATAAGCAGCATGGTGGGTTTTAACTAAAATTAATTTTGCTTGCACAACTTTGCTCCTTTAGCAGGTACTTCCATCTGAAATCAAGGCAATTTATTATAAAGGAGCCAACAATGTCACAATTCAGAATTTTTAAACTAGAACAGTAAACTTATTCTGGTTTACTTTTGAATTGTAAATAGTTTCTTCATGCATTTATAACGAATCCATGACAGAAAAAAAATTAGATTCATCGCATTTATTCCATTTGCATTAAGTTTTGAGGCCATTCACTCTTTTTCTTCTCCCCACCCAGAAAAACAGACCAAAAATGTTGATGATTCATCATAAAACTATCTTGGTCTAGGATGTACTTTAAAACAATTTTCACTCAGAAATAGCAAGTAAATGTCATAAATATTTACAAAGAAACAGCAAGTGACACGTTGAATTAAACATGAAATTTGTAAGTAAAAAGACAGAAAGTAAGTAGAAATACTATTTTATTGTAAAAGCTTTGTTTTATTTACCACATTGTAAAATAATTCAGCGTGTGCAGTCTAATCAGATGCTGCAAAAGACTAGCAAGTAGCAAATCATGTAAAGGCTAAACCCTGTTATGATTCAATGGGAAATGCATTAAAAAGGCTTGTCAGAAGGGGTTGAGAGGGTTTTGTAAGAAAACAAAACAAACTTCTTTCCCTGGAAGAGAGTGAATGTCTGTTTCTTTTCATCTATCACAGCATCAGGAACTTCACATCTTGTCTCTAATCTGTAGCTGGCGAAAACAGATAGTTTAACAAGAATTCACATTGCTGTCACACTTTACAGTTTCTGAGAAGCGCGTGTCTGTGTAATCTGATCAATTATGTCATCGCAGTGCTCTGATATAATCAGATTGATTACAGTATGACAGGATACAATATTCCAGAAAAACAAACATTTGTCATTTGGAGATCACAGCTGATATTGATGCCTGTCTGTCAGCCTCATGCTTTTTTTGCATAAGAGATATTAATGTGCATTGCATAACGGTTCCTATGGTGTCATATAGGAATAGGTACATACTAGAAAAGAAGCTGAAAAATATGATTAAATATTATTAGAACTTAAAATAACTTTCATATGTGAATATATTGTAAAATGTAATTTATTGCAGTGATATAACACTGAATTTTCAGCATCATTACTCCAGTCTTCAGTGTCACATGATCTTCAGAAATCATTCTAATATACTGATACGCTGCTCAAGAAATATTTCTGAGTATTATCAACGTTGAAAACAGTTGTGCTGCTTCATATTTTTGTGGAAACCGTGATACATTTTATTTTTCAGGATTCTTTGAATAGAAAGTTCAAAAGAACAGCATTTATTTGAAAAATAAATATTTTGTAACATTATAAACATCATTACTGTAATTTTTAAAAATCAGTTTAATGCATTCTTGTTGAATAAATGTATTAATTTCTTTAAAAAAATCTTTCTGACCCCACACCTTTGATCCATAACGTAATGTCAGACAACTTAATGCATTAGTATAGAATTCGACTTTGGCTCATCCAATCAGAATTTAGATTCAGAACTGTCCATTAAATAATTTGACTCTTGTTTTAAACTAAAGTTTTTCATAACGTGAAGCTGTTTTGCAATGATATCAGACTTTATATTGTTCATTTGTTGTAAATAATCCGATATTTTGGAACTGCATTGACACAAACCAAAATAAAACGGTAATATATTTAATTCACTGTATTATACAGAAATAGCCATTGGCAGATGGTTATTTAATACATAAACCATTATGTGTAGTGTTACCGCCAAAAACAACGTTGTGATTTATATTGTTAGCGTCATATGATATTACGCATGCTGTGATATGAGGTTTTGCTCGTACCGCCCACCCATAGACTCACATTTGCTGTTGTCAACTTGAACACATCCAGCTGTAAATTATATGACTGCATGTGTGTCTAAAGTTTTCTACTGGCAATTGCAAATGATTAGAAAACATACAGTGTGACAAACTATCTGTTTCCTGAACAAGTTTCTATCAGCTCTGGAAAGGTTCTCATGTTCGAATTCAAGTGAGAAGCTTTCCAGAACTCAGGAAACTGGTAGTTTGTCACTCATGCTTAATTTCCAGTAAATGTACTGAAACTTGAATTCTTGCTATCTAAAACACATTTGGCAACATCTTTTGAATTTCCATCACTTTTCCACTGTTATGTTTGATCTAGTTATTTTTGAAGATTTTTTTTAAAGTTTTTCTTCATAGACACCGCTAACAGGAATCATTCTCAGAATGTTCTGGCTATGTTTTCTCAAAGCTATGAACAAACATTCTGCCAGTAACAATAATAGAGCGTTTGTTTAAAGTTACTGGTCTTTAATAACATTCCCAAAATGTTAGCACAAAAATGTTTAATTTAAACATTGTTTAAAGAATGCATTTTTTTCTTAACATTTTAATTTGGACGAACTTTTAATGTTGTGTTGTGTTAATTACTGCTAACTAGTTTCAGAAAGTTTCGAGAACATTCAAAAGTAACGCTCCCAAAATATTTACAAAATAGAATGTTCCCTTAATGTTTTTGCCAATGTTTGTATAAATAAGAAAACAAACATTTTTAAAATTAAATAAAAAAAAAAACGATGCATTTTGAATGTTCAGAGAACATTTAGAAATAATGTTTTTATAACTTAATGTGAATGTTAACTTTCTTAGAAAGTTTTTTTTTTTTAAGCTGGGGAGGTTGAATTTTTTTTAACTTTGTTTAAAATTATAGTAAGCTCTGATTTACCGGAAAGAATTTGGTGTATAAACAATTTTGCTCAGAAATTGCTAGTAAATTTCACCAACAGTTACAAAGAAACAGCAAGTAACACTTTGAATTAATTTAAATTTTGAAGTAGAAAAACTGAAACAGTATTTTATTTTAAAACATACTCCAATAATCTTTTTTTTTTTTTTTTTTTTTTACAGTGTAGAAAATAGATCAGACTTGTCCAGGCCTTTCCAATTAACCTTACATTTGACATGACTGTAAGAACCCTTTCCCATTTTCAGTCCTGTCACTCGCATTTATCAAATAATCAGCCTCCATAAAACCAGAGGCGGACAGTAACTAAGTACATTTACTTGAGTATTGTACTTAAGTACAGTTTTTGAGTATCTGTACTTTACTTGAGTATTATTTTTTCAGGAAACTTATTACTTTAACTTCACTACATTTGAAAGACAAATATTGTACTTTTCACTCCACTACATTTCTATCAAGGTCCTCGAAGTAGAAAGTCGTTACTATGTAGCAACTTTGAAAGTCACTGGGTGATTTTTTTCTTCTCTAAAACATGACTTTCTTTTTTCAGACAGTTTATCAGTAATCACTCTTGTAGGGCTACATGAAGTGATTTCCCAGCATTTTTGAGCACTGACCAGTTGCAAATGTGGTATTTATTTACAACAATTCAATAATAAGAAGTTAATATTGTGGTATATATTAGACACAATATTGTCTGATTTTG